GTGGTAAGCCATGGTATAGAAGCATAAAATCGGGACCATGAGGGAACGCTAAGTTCTATTCTGGCCTCTAGCTTACCACACACTGAGATCGGCGCAGAAGAGCCACCAGACCTGCTCACCATCAGCAACACGCAACGGCGAAGGACAAGCCTCTCAAGTCAAGATCCCTCAAGCAGAAAGGGAAGGAAGGAGACTCTGTGAGGTTGCCTTCAGATGGTGTTCTAAGACTCCCGCCACTGACATTCCTCAAGCCCCTCGCGCTTCGCCTTAGATGTGCTCCGAGATGTGCCAAAGAGTAAGCTGCCCCATGGGCCGGAGGACCTTCTCCCATTCACGCAAAATCCCAAACTCAAGGCCGTGAGCCTTACAACCGCAACAAACGCTCCAAGTTCGGCGCGGCCGCTGGTTGGATGCAACTAGGCCTTCACAAAATGGATCGCCCCTAGCCCTCCAGACCTGAGATTGTCCAACATCCCCACGGAGACTCAGCAGTCAACAGATTGGGAGATGCTTCTCTACGACGTCCCTAGCTCCTCGCGACTTCATGGCGCATGGCTGATTTTCGGGGGGTGTAGTGAGAACTGGCCCACAGTTGACATAAAAAGCTTCAAGGCATCACCGCATTTCCAAAAGTCGACCCAAGCACTGCGCCCAGCACTCTGCGCCTCCACCGGATCCCAAAGGCCGTGCTCGGCATTGTCTGCCAGTCTTGCCATGGCCTGGGAAATCAGAAAGTTGGCAGCTAGAAGCTAGCACAGCTGCAGAAGTTCAGCGTGCTCGGACCCTGTGTGCGCCACGTCGATACGCAGCTCACAGGTCAGCAACAATCAAAGCAGCATAATCGCTACCCCACCCATCGCCTCCCCATCCCCCACTCTCCCTTCCAGCCCACCCAGGACAGACTCGCGCTGGTTTGTTTTTACCGCAGCTGCTGTTATCCTGTGTAATCGGGTGCAATGCGTGTCTAGCTTCGATGATTTGGCATACATTCCTCCAATGCGTCCACCCAGGAGTCACGCTCTGCCGCAGGCGAAAACTTAGCGTCGGATGGGTCAGTCAAGACACAGAATCTGTAGTCACGGTAGAAATGGTATAGTTTGAAACACTCCTCGCCATCCTCGAAGCCATAGGAAGCCCCAGACTTCACCTTGACATCCTTGGCATCTTGGAGGATGATACCCTTTCCTACCCTCTCGTCAGCCCCAGGATCTTGAGTCGGATCATCAGTCCAATAGCGAAGAACCGCGGAACGAACAGCATCACCAGACTCCAAGACAAAATAACGCTTGTCCCAGCCTCCAATTCGGCCTTTCTTCATCAGCCACCCCGCCTTTAGTGTTTTCTGTGCATAGACTGGCTTCTGTGACTCTGCAATTCGTGCACACTGCGCTCCAGCAGGCTCCTGTGCACCGTAAGTATACGGTCCAAGTATCCAAGAAGGCTGGGGCGGACTGCACGTGAGCTGGATGCCCCCTGTGCCGGAAGCGGAAGGGGGAACTGCACGAGATCCCTCGACGACTCCACAGCCTGCATCAGACGCTTGGAGCCTGATGCACGCTCGTTCACACGATGCATTGTAGTAGGTGGGAGCGCATGCACGGACAGCCTTAGACCTGCCTGTGCTGTAATCAGTGTATGTCGTCTTGCAAGCCGAACTTTGTGGCAACCACTCCGCATCCATAGCTCGCTTCTCTGCTACAGTCGCTCGTTCCACTTCCTGAAAATGTCGAAGATGATCCCTGGCCTTCTGAAGCTCTCGCCGCAGCTCTGGAATCCTCCTCTCCGCCCGCCGCACGGCGCTTTGAGCACTGTAAACCTGCCTGTGCGCGCTCTGCAGCGTGTCCTTGGCACGCTCGCAAGCTTTGCAAGCACTGTAGACTTCCTGCTGGTTGTTGTATCGGATCCACTCGTCATAGTGCTGCCCATCGTTGTTGTCGACATATCGTGGGTAGGGGCAAGAAAAACTCATTTGGTTCAAAAGGGTCTCGGTGGATGTGGCGCCCCATAAGTGGTTCATGAAAGCAAGATTGCCATGCTTTCGTTGATAGTCTGCGCAAGCCCTTCCCACTTCTTGGCGACAGCGTTGTTCTTTACTCTGCGCATCTTCTTCGCGCCTCTGAGCCTGAACGAGAGACTTTTCGGCTGCTTGGATGCTGGCAGGGATCCCGTAGTCGATCTCCCGTGGAAGCCTGCGCAACATCCCCCCCAATCCTCCCCCATGCAGAATGGCACACACACACACACACCAATACAAGCATCTAGTCTACAACCCTCGTGTCGGCCAAGTCTATGAGGGCGAGCCTTCCCAACTCCGTCTGGACGGTCTTAAGCTTTGACACTGCCCTGTCATAGCGCTGCTGCACATGCTCGCAGCGAATCTTCTCAGCCTTCAAGTCTGCCGCTGTTACATCGTAGCTAGACAGACAGAATCGCTCCACGTCCGACTCCTTCAAGCAGCCAGAGGGAAGCTCAAGCACCTCGACAAAGTCAGTCTTGGCCACATCCCCGTGGTCTCCACGGGCGTTGTTGTGGCACACGGAACACTTGACGCACTTCCCCTGACCTTGGACTCCCTTGAACAAAGGAATGCCTTTTGGATATGCTCCGCCCTTCCAAGTCAGGCCACCCGAACTGCGCTGGCGATGTGCCGAAATCTCCGGAAGCCAATAGCAGAAGGAAGTAGCATAATAGGTCTCGTCGCGGGCACCCCGCCTTGCGCAGCTGTGCCCTTTGACAATCTCTTCCTTCACGTCGTCGCTGATCGCACGCCCCCCAAACCATTCCTTGACTGTGCCAATGACTCCTGAGCTGTGCCCTGGGTATCGGAAGTCACTGGTCATGAAGCTAAAGTCCACCTCCAGATCTAGCTCGTCCTCGGATGTGCCATCAACCATTGGCGCGGCAGCACGAAAGGCTGCCGCACGAACAAACAGCCCGGAAAGAAGCAGCCCACGAAGAGCCATGCTGTGGAGCAAGGAAATCTGGTCTTGGTAAACCACTAAGAATTTGGAATCTCACAAAGCTGTCTCCATTGTGCCAAATGCGGAGGGTGGGTGGTCATGCTTGCAGCACAAGCACAGCCACATTGGCAACGCCAAGCGGTGCGAATCAGAGCAACCAAAGCAAGCAAGCAGGAGTCCTGAAACAACCGCCCGTGGTCAGTATAGAAAACATATCATGAAACTGTATGCATATGCAAACAAGACACAAGATACAAGTCATACATAGTGCCAGAGTATCGGGGTAGAAGCCCACTCAGCCGGTGACGCGGGCGATGTGAAGGAAGTGCTCCAGGAACTTACAGGCAATGGATTCGTACCTCGACGTTCCGACGCAAACATGAAGAGGATCGCAGTGCGAACAACTACGAATACAACGCTGCTAGACTGCAATGTGAATCACTGAATGTTGCGACTTAGTACGTGCTGTGAGGTTAGTGTGGCAAGCATGGCTGATAAGACTCCGACAAGACACCCATTTCTGTTGTTGTTCTTGCCATGCGTATGGTCTTTGCTATAGGGAGATATATTTGTCGAGCTCAAGTGCATCCGCTTGAAAAGGAACAACAGGTCGGACGAATCCTTAGAAGCCTAAGGAATGCGAGGGCGAAAAAGAGAGCAGCACCAAGTTTGGGAGGGCTTCAGGCCGCCTTGGGATGAGGGGGTTCTTGAATTCATGTGTGTTATAGCGCATACTGTCATGGGAACGAACCCCCCCTTTCCATGGACAAGCGGACTCAAAACAACCCCTCACAGTCACAGAAACATATCGAATCTATGACATCAAGGAGGAGGGGACATGCCTTCTGGATGGCAGGATTTGTCGCTGGACAAGCTGTCAAGATGATCTTTGCACGTCGCATTCCGGGCCTGCCGCCTTTCCTTGTAGCCAGTATAATTACCGTATAATGTCTTGCTGGCGAACGACGAACCCCTTTCAACCTTGAACGCTCCTAGCGCTCCCGAAAGAGCGATAGGCGCACATGGGGTTGTGGAGGGCCAGCTCCAAAGGCATTCGCATCGTCAGGCCTCAGAGTGCACCGTTCACTTGGGACCTGGGGTTGGGGGCCCGCTAGGCTGTAGAAGGCCATCCAGCTCGTGCCATGAGATTGGTTGGTCCACCTTAGGAACAAGTCTTGCTCCTCTGTGCCCTCAAGGAGAGATGGGCTGGGGACTGTTGGGACCTAAAAACCCGCTGGACCTGCTGGCACCCTTCCCTCCCCGTGTCCCCGTCCCCACGAGCCATTCCCCGCTTCCATCCGGAACGTGATCCTGGATTTGCATGGGTCCCCACACAACCGAACTCCAGGTCGATAGGAGGCAGCCCATGGCCTAGGGTGTGAGGATTCTGGTAGAAGGGGCCTTATGGGGTGGGCTTCCACAAATGAGTGCTTTCCTGGGGCTGATGGATGCTTCAGAGCCCGGGTTTTCGTCTGCAGAAAACGGTTCCTGTGGGGTTTGATCCTCTGGGTTGTCGTCTTTTGTAGGGGAGGGGAGGGGAGGGGAGGGGGGAGAGGCTCTGCTTCCCAGTGCTGTGCAGCAAGCCTGCACGAAGGACAAAGTTACATCTAAGCAAAAAGATACAAGTAAGCCTGCTACCTTCAATTCCTGGTGGCAGCCTAATTTCGAGAACCGCCCCAGTTAAACTGCTGTTTATCCAATGCCTGACCCTCCTTGGTTCAGTCAACAAGCAAAACGGCACCGATCACTGGGCATGGGACTGTTGGCCTAAACCATTTTGAAAACGTGAACTGTGAGGCCCAGGCCGGCACCCAGCCCACCCCGGACTTCTGGACACTTTCGGATTTGCTTCAACGAGGGAAACCTCGATCGGCTCAGTAGGCTGGGGGGCCAGCTCAACACAGATCCACCGGTCCTTGGCATTGGCATGTTTGTCAGCTGCCTTGCCTTTCAGCTGTGGTGTCATCGAAGATCTGGGGGTCTGTGTTTAGACTTGGCAGCCAAAATTAATTGAGATTGAGGTCAAAAGCAACAGTGGCAACGGCTGGCCATCACTGTAAGCACAACTTTCGTGGTGCTGATAGACACCTTTCCGGCGGTCACATGTCCAGAAGGATTTCCTGAGGTTGCGACCAACGCACGCGCGGCACCTGCTTGCTGAGGGCTTGGAGGGTTTAGGGTCTGGCGTCTGGGGGTGGTCATGTTTGCTATTTTTTTCTTCGGTGCCGTCTCGCAACACTGTCATCGTCACCAGCAGCACCCACCGCCTCTGGGCGACATTACCACTGTCCTATGACCGACCGCGTGTGCCCCGATGCACTGGCTAGTCTTCTTACCATCAGGTCACCATCACCAGAAGTAGCAATAAAACGAGCTGCATGTGAATGAGCAAGAATCGCAACACCCTGAGTCCACGTACTCATGCTGTAATTGCAAAGCACACAAGGGCAGCCTGCCTGATGGAAGCCTCTTGCAGCTCTTGCCCAGTGGACTGGCAACACACAGGCTCACCGAAACAAAAGACACCATGCATTACTCTTCAAACATGGCATGCATACGGGGCTGCCGCGGCACATTTGGGGCGAAGACTGCCACAAGCAGCACTGTAGAGATTAAAACCCACATCTGGCATGGTGCAAGAGTTCAATCCCCAGAGACTCCAATATCCCTTAATTAAGGAATATTCTCTAAATCATATTAAGGATCCTACTATGATTTAAGGAATTTTCCTTAATTAAGGAATATTGGAGTCTCTGGGTCAGTCCTGGCCACCAAAGTGCTCCAGTTGGGAGATGGGCATTGCAGGTCCACCTCAGCGAGGCGCAGCTTTCGGTCGGAGTTCGGCGCCGTCAGAGGCAGCAAGCAGGTTTACAAAAGTAGCACGGTAGAAAGCTTTTTGATTCTGGGCTGCAGCTTACGCTCTGGCTGCAAGCCCTTGCTTGCGAGCTGCTTCGCCAAACCGTCTTTGAGTAGTTTGCTGCTTGCGTTGTTGAAATCGCCAACTTGCCTTTGGCAACGCTGACTGGTTTGACGTTTTCCTGGCTGACAGCGCCAACTTGCCTTCGGCAGTGTGGGAGCATCTCAGCAGCTAAACACGCCTTGAGGACAAGATCAGACGTTTTCGTCTGTCCGTTAGACTCCTTCATGCGTCAATCGCGTATTAAATCGCAATGCCATGACTTGAGCTTGCTGGCAAAGTCCTTCAAGGCAGCTTCCGACTGGGCGTGAGCGTCCTCTCGCTCTCCCCAGCTGCCGCCTCTGAGCAGCACATCGGCCGATTCCAAGTCGGGCATCTTCAGCATTGCTTCGCGGAGCGCCCTTGCCGTCCGACCATCCAGAGTGTTTTCGGTCCAATTCAGCGATAAGCGGTTCAATTTAACCAACTTGGACAATGCCTGCGCCAATGATTCCAAACCGCAAAGGGACTCGTCGTCGTTCCAACCGCACCGGCGCAGGTTCAGCTCCAGTGATCTCAGCTCAGGCAGGCTCGCTTGGTCCAATGCCGATGGAAAAGCCCTCTCATCGGGATGACAATTGTCCAGGTTCAGCTTGAGACTTTGAAGGAAGGGCAGCTGCAGCTTGGCAAAGGCACGTGACCCCTGGACCGGCAATCTGCTTCCTGAGAGATCGAGCTCGAGGTCTCGTAGCTCTGTGCACCGACTCAACAGCTCCAGCAGCGTTCCCAGACCAGCGCCGCAGTCCCTGCCCTCGAACTTTAGCTGCAGGCGATTGCTGTTGAGCCACTCGCTCCGCAAAAACACCTCGTCGAGGCTGTCGGCCTTCACTGCTGCGGCCAGGAGCTCGGGCAAGCCCTTTCCGAGCTTTATGAGCTCTGGCCAGCGCGGCTTCGCACAGACTGTAGCCCACCTTTAGCGACCAGGACAGCCAGCGTTCGGTCCAGAGGTCCAAGCCCAGCTTGACTTCGGTGCACGAGAAGTGACAGCACTTGAAAATCGACGGCATGGCATACTTGAAGAAAGCGTCGCTTCTGAACCACAGCGAGCTATCCCCCATCAGCACCTTCGCATCAAAGCCCCAAGCTTTCAAGCGGTCGGCGTTCAGCTCCGGCAGCTCTGCCCCTAGCTGTGCCTTCAAAGACAAGAGCTCGGCCAGAAGCTCCCCAAAGCTGACATGCTCCGCATCCCACTGGAAACTGCGGCTCCACTCCACAATGTAGCGGGCCTTGCTGCATGCCGCTTCCTGCGCACCCAGGAACCTGGTGGAATCGATCTTGGAAATCGCTTCCGCTAGGGCGGAGGGGTGCATGATGTTTTGGGGTGTAGCTGGGCTGGGCGTGCCCGATTTGCTCAGGTCGTAATGTCTTTGACGCTTGCGTGCGTCCCAGTCGATGACCTCGATTGCATCGCACAAGCGCTGGACCTTCTCCTCCTCCGATGCCCAGAAGTCGGCCTTCCGATCCTGCCACTGGCGCAGCAGGGCCTGTAGGTCCTGCCCAGCACTCTGCAGGCCTAAGCAGATCATGAACTGCAACAAGCGGCTACTTTGGCTGGCCATCGTCACGTCAAAAGTGCTCCTGTTCTCAAAGCTGAAGTTGACCTGAGCCTTGTGGTCCACCAATAACTTGAGCACCGTTGCCTGGCTCTCCGGCAGCTTCTGCAAGCGTTCACACTGGATTAGCGCAGCAAAAAGTGGTGGCATTCCTGTAGCGTCCTTCGAGTTCGGATCCGCAAAGTTGCACAGAAGCTCTTCCACTTTCTTCGCGTTCCCGTCGGCTGCTGCCATCACCAGCTCTGCTGAGGCGTAGCGGCGTCGTTTGATGAAATCCTCCAGTTGCTCCGTTGCAGTTGCCAATCGGCTCACCCCATCTTCCATGCACTGCGACATCATGGAAACCAGGCGAGCGGCACTTTCGCTAGAGGGCCGCGTGTGCAATCGCAGCAGCGCCTCAACTAAGGGTGTCTGCTGCAGGTCATCTTGAACATGTCCGCCCTGCTGCACAACAGGCACCAAACCACGCGCTCATGGCCACCAGAAGCTGCTTCGATGCAGCGCGGTTCGGGCGTGGTTGTCCTTGAGGCTCACATCCGCAGCAAAGCGGAGCAGCACGCTCACCAACTCTGCGTGGCCGCCGCTTGCTGCCTGCAGCATGGGCTTCTCAGGGTCGTTGAGGATCTTTGTCAGCTCGAAGGTAGCGGAATCGCCCAACTCCTTGCGGCCCCAATCCAGAATGTCGTAGCACTTTTGCGCATCGCCTTTGTGTACCATTGCAACCAACTCTCGCTTCACCTCGAAGGAACGATGCCCCGAATGCTCCTTGACATGGGCCATACCCCTGGTGTTCAGCTGCAGTTCGGCCACCATTCCGTGCATGCGAACCGACAGCTGCAGATCTCGGTAGCCAGCCAAGTGATTGAGGTAGCGATCGTTGAACTCGATGATCTCGATGTCCTTGTCCCGATGTATCACATCCAAGCCCTTGTACATCGAGGCCAGGCTGTCGTACAAAATCGTCGCCCTGACGATGTCAGTCAGCCGATAATACGAGACTCCTGCGTCGTCTGCATACTTGAAGGCAGCTTTGCTTTCACATCTGGCGAGGCCTTTCATCTCCGGGACGAGCGCCTCACCTTCTGTCTGCTCCGCAATGAGCCTCACTCGGTCGTCGAAGGCGCTCTTGCGCTCTCGGTGGAAGTCGTAGACCTCAGCCATCGAGCTGCAGTAGGGCTGGTAGTTCATGGTCGTAGACCGCGCCTTCAACTCCAAACCACGGCGTTGCAGAAGCTCTTGGATCTCTTTGGGCGGCGCATACTTGCTGTGGATGTGTCTGCTGAGCTCGGCAAAGCCTTGCAAGCACTGCTGGCCACCCAGCAAGCAGAGTGCCTGCGCATAGGTGCTGGGCATGGCTTCAGTCTTCAAGACAGTCACCCGGTCGCCTTCAGCCACGGACTCGCTGGGCGACTTCCCGATGGCTCTGCGTTTCACCAGAAGCCCGTGCCGCGGCTTGCAGCTGAAGATCGCGATCCCCGCCAGCACGCCATCCATGGCGCAGGCTCGCTCCTCATCCAGCTCGATCCCGATCCACTCAACTTCGTCCCTGGAGCCTTCAGGCTCCGCCATGGCCTCGATGTTCACTCGTCCGCAGAACTTCACGGTCCCGGCGCCAAGAACCTCCGCCTCTGCCCTCTTGTTCTGCGAGCCGGCTGAGCTGCCAGTTCCCTGAACCCCGTCACCATGGGGCGGCTTCGGCTTCTGCCCGCTCAGGGCGTCCACCCTAGACCGCAGCTCGGCCACTTCCTTGGACAAAGCGGCCGCCAGCTCTTCGAAACCATCGCGCGGCTTCGGCTTCTGCCCACTGAGGGCGTCCAGCCGGGACCGCAACTCGGCCACATCCTTGGACAAAGAGGCTGCGAGCTCCTCGAAACGCCTTGTCAGCTCTCCTCTCAGCTCGGGGAAAGCCGCCAAGGCCGCCTCCCCCTGGGCCAAGGGCTTCAGCTCGGGCCGCGGCGGTGCGCCGCCCTGATCGCTCTCTTCTCTGGTCTTTCTCAGCTCTTCGAGGAATTCCCTGACAGGTTCCAGGTTGAAGGGCGAGCAAGGATCCTGCATGGCATCGGCGCCGCGGAACATGTGTGAAAAGGCGTGTCCTGGAGCCCTGTATGACTTCAACCGGCATGAGCTCTGCCTACCTGCCCTAAGCTTTGCCTGATGTCCACCCCGCGGCAGTCAGAGTAGTAGCAAGTTTTGCAACCATCTCATCTTTATGAGAACGCTAGTCACTAGCATCACTAGTGTAGAAGCACATCAGAAGGACGACGCTCCAACGCGATCAGGCTGGTCAAAGTACAGTCTCCGCGCACCCTGAAGCAACTTGATGGCGAACCTCTGCAGCCTGAAACTCTGAAGTTGGTATGTGCCAAGCAGGACCAAGCCTTTTCAACAGCAGAGGGCTAAACTCTGTACAACTGGCTGTACAGCTTCGGGGAGCGCCCCTTTGTCCTGCCCAGCTAGCACGCTTTCCGACACACAAAAAACATGCTGCCATGCTCGGCATCAAAGGGAAAATCCATTCCTATGCCGTTTGCATGCTTGTCCTTATCCTGGCGACCCTGGTGCTCTTCGATCAGTTCCTAAAGTAATGCCCCACAGGCAAAGTTCACACGGTTGGCTTAGGAAAGATGACACGAAAAGAGCACGAAGCCACGCCCCTGCTCAGAAGGCTTTGTTTCCCTGTGCTTCCGGATCCGCATCTCCTTTCAGCTCATCGGGTTGCATCCAGTTCGCAGGTGAGACTCGCCAAAAGCTCCTCAGCCCTGTTATGAAAGCTGCGCGCAAACTTCACCCCAACGTTTGCATCCTCACAGCTTCTGAACCCTAATTACATGGCATCACTGCCGAGAAAATTCTTTCAACTCTTTCTACCAATGCCATGGACATCTGGGTGCACTGCGACAAGCACCTGCGACTTCACTGTTGAGTTGACATCCTTTGCTGGGTTCTTGTTAAGGGATTTAATTTAAGTTACCATAATAGGGATCTATAGTAAATAATATGGTTTCCCTATTATGGTAACTTAAATTAAATCCCTTAACAAGAACCCAGTTTGGCGTAGGAGTCCTCTTCTCAGCAGTACAGCTGAAGCCCATTGAGCTTCAGGCGGGAACCTGCAAGGCGGGTCGCCGGGGCGGAGCACTTGCCGTGGGAGTGGAAGCTGTGGAGGTGGTGGTGGTGGTTCGTGGTGCTGTCACAGGCACTGATACGCAACAACACCCAGAAATGTAACGGTCATGAACAAATGAAGCAAGAGCATGCAACAAGAGTGTCTCTGTGTTTGCAGCGTTCTGACGCTGAGCATCTCACTCTGCGCTGCGCGATCGTTCAGCCAGCTCGTTCTTTCCTCAATCTGCTTTCGCAGGTTCTCATCCTGCTTCTCCTGCCGTGGGCACTATTTTGGACTCCCTCCACGACCTTCCGTGCTTTACTTGAAATAAAACCTGTCGCTAGTAGTAACCTCACCTTGATGATTCACATCATTCCCTAAACCCTAATAGCCTAAACCTTAAACCCTAAAGCCC